AAAAAAAAAAAAAAATATATATATACGATTTTTGTCCTTCTTCCACAAATATTCAATATTTTTCCCAAAATAAAGAAGATGATCAGCTAACAGACATACCTACAACATTAAATCCTTATACATAATATTTGTACGATGAAATCCCACAAAAATCCGAAACAATTATCGTACAGTCATCGGATAAGCCGTAAAATAAATTTGATAAACGCCCAGAGTGTGTGCTGTGAGATGATTGAAAAATATCAGAACAATTAGAGAATAAGCATTGAACATCGCACCGTTTAGACATGCCGTCCGCCTTGAGAACACCAGTGAAGCGATTAATGGACCGATAATGGAGAAAGTGTTCGCTCGATCAAGAAAATGCGAAATTGGGAGAGTATTTAGGGCTTTTGAGCGTGGTGATATTTGTGAAATTACCATTTGGGCCGTCATGTGGCTCTTGTCCAAATAATCAACAATTTCATACATATAAAAATTCATTACATACATGTCCTAAAGATTTTCAATTACTAAGACTACGAATAACAGCAACCGTTCCAAACACCCAACCTTTCAACCACCATAATATTTAATTAATTTCTCTCCCTTTCACAATCATCAATAATCATTCCAACCACACAATCTCAATATTGCAAGTTTATCAGCAACCACACCAACATCCAACCACAACATTTTTTTTCTTAATTTGTTTTTATTTAATTATTATATTTTTTTATTTCATTTCATTTTATTTTAATTATTAATTAATTATTTTATTTGCTTTGATTTAATATAATTATATAATTATTTTATTTGATAATTATTTTATTTGCTTTGATTTAATATTATTATATAATTATTTTATTTGATTTGATTTAAAATAAGGCGATTAAATAAAATATAACCACATCGATTACATTAATTAGACAATTTCATAAATAGACGATTAAATAAATAAAACCACAACGATTACATTAAATAGGCAATTACATAAATAGACGATTACATAAAATAAAATTACATTGGCTAGACAATTACATAAACAGACGATTACATTAAATAGATGATTACATAAAAAAGAGCACAATCATACCAACTAAACCATCATGGGATTAATTCCTGCATAAGGCGGTTTTTGACAGCTTCTTCTTGAGAAGACAAGTTGCTTTTACCCATCAAAGTGTTGAGCATATTCATTTTGTTGTTGAGCGTGTTCAAGGCTAATTTTTGCATCTTAATTTCTCCAATCTTGTTAATTGCTTCAATTTCTTTCTCACGTGTGATCCTCATTGCATGAAGTGCTTCAGTGTAGTCATCAGGAACAACTGGGGGTTGTGATGCAGTGGCTTTTCCTTTCCTTTTTCCTTTCGCCTTGTCTCTGCCAGTAGGACGACGAATTGTTGAAGTTTCACTAACTTGGATTTTATCGTTTGGGTCCTCATCTCCTCCGGTAGTTCTTGATCTTTTGGAGCTTCCACGATCTTCTTCAACATCATCATCGCCAGCATATTCTCAATCAATGCGAGTACGATGACGCTCAACACCCAATTTCAATTCCCACTTTGGATAATGACGCATAATCTTATCAAAAACTTCATGATGCGTAAACTTCGTACCTTTTTCGCCGCTGTAAAATTTTTGAGCTATCGTTTCAACATTTGCATCAGACCTACCACTACTTTTTTGAGCACATGCTTCTTTGTAGGCGCCCAACCACTTGGTTACATTTGTGTTCAACCTTCTATAACGTTTCCTTAGCGATTCAATGGTTCTTTGTTGTCCCATAAACTTTGAGTTGTCCGCACAAGCTTCCTCATATATTTCCGAGATACTTTTCCAAAATGTCTGACTATTTTGGTTCGTGCCGATAGCAGCATTCTGACTTACGGTAACCCAAGCATACATGAGTGCCAGATCTTCTTGATTTGTCCAAACTTTGGGAGTATGTGAAGTACTTGTGTTTTGGGACTGGATATTTTCATGAGTGAGATCAATTGGAAACTGAGGGTTTGAATGGGTTTGAAAATATTGGTGACTATCAAGATTTTCAAGGCTAGGATAATAATCTTCGGTGTTTGGCAAAAAAATTGCTTGGATCTATTGATAAAATTGAGAACAATAGAGTTTTGGTAATGAAAGGAATATGAAATGGAGATGATTTTCTGGTGTGTGTGAAATATGCTAAATGAGGTCTCTATTTATCAACATTGATTGTGTTTTTTTGACATGGATTGTACTTTTTGACGAATGGATGAGATTAATTGTTTTTTGATGGATGGACGAGATTAATTGCTTTTTGATGGATGGACAAGATTAATTATTTTATTGATGAATGGTGGAGATCAAACTGACATGAATTGTACCTTTTGACATGGATTATGCTTTTTGATGGATGGATAGGATTAATTGCTTTTCTATGGATGGATAGGATTAATTACTTTTTGATGGATGGACGAGATTAATTGCTTTTTGATGGATGGACGAGATAAATTACTTTATTGATGAATGGTGGAGATCAAACTGACATGAATTGTACCTTTTGACATGGATTACGCTTTTTAATGGATGGGTAGGATTAATTGCTTTTCGACGGATGGATAAGATTAATTACTTTTTTATGGATGGACGAGATTAATTGCTTTTTGATGGATGGACGAGATTAATTGCTTTATTGATGAATGGTGGGATCAAAGTGACATGGATTGTGCTTTTTCACATGGATTGACAATTGTATATCTGAAATTTATAATCCTGGAAAATTACAATATCAGTTACGACAATAAGAACTTACAATATTACGACACTCATATTGAAATATTACGACACTAAGACATTACAACATTAGAAAATTACGACACTGAGAAGTTACAACATTACAATATTACGACACTCATATTGAAATATTACGACACTAATAAGACATTACAACATTGAAAAATCACGACACTGAAAAGTTACAACATAAGAATATTACGATACTGAGATATAACAAACAAATCTCAATTTTCACGCCCAAACTTTTGCCAAATGTGCTCGATAAGGTCTTTCTGCAGAGCAATGTGAGCTTCTTTGCTACGAAGTTGTGACCTATTTGTCATGTACCTAGATAAACTTGCAATTCGTTCCATAGAGAATTCAACATTTAAATTATCATCATCTTCATTTTGAGGATTAGATCTTCTAGCCTCCATAAACTCTGTAGGATCACAATAGTTTAAGTAAGTGTGTCTCTCATCTTCCACTATCATATTGTGCATAATGATGCAAACAAGCATTATTTTTCCCATCATGTCACGATCCCACAGAAGACATGGTTGTCTGATGAAATGGAAGCGAGCCTGCAGAACCCCAAATGCTCGCTCGACATCTTTTCGAGCTGCTTCTTGATGTTGAGCAAATAGCTGGTGCTTCTTAATTTGTGGGTGATTGATTGATTTAACAAATGTTTCCCATTGAGGATATATCCCATCAGTGAGATAATATCCCATATTTTTCTCGTGGCCATTGACAATATAACTAACCTTTGGTGCTCGACCTTCCAAGACATCCTTGAAAAGAGGAGACTGTTTAAGCACGTTGATATCATTTTTGGACCCCGGAGTTCCAAAGAATGCATGCCAGATCCATAAATCTTGTGATGCAACGGCTTCCAAAATGATTGTTGCCTTACCGTTTCTTCCTTTATATGTCCTGCCCATGCAGCAGGACAATTTTTCCACTCCCAGTGCATGCTCAATACTTCCTAACATACCTGGGAAACCTCTTTGTTCACCAATATGCAACAAATATGCTAAGTCACCTTCATTCGGCTTTCTGAGGTACTCATCACCAAAGTTTGAAATCACACCCTGCACAGATTTTTTAACAGATTTTCTAATAGTTTGTGCATTCATTCGAAGGTATTCATCATGCAAATCAGCTCCTGTACCGTATGCCAAAACTCTCATAGCTGCAGTACTTTGAATTGAGGACATACCTAATCTCCCAGTTGCATCACTTTTTTGTTGAAAAAATTCATCTGTTTCAACGAGTTTACTCATTATTCGTTCGAATAATGGCTTCCGCATACGAAATCTTGTTCGGAAAACTTCTGGAGGATATATTGGATCATCTGAAAAGTATTGCTCAAACACCCCCTTCATGGCCCTTCTCACGTTGTCGCTCAATGTAGCATCGTCGGGGCTCATTAGCGGTGTTTGTAGGCTGAAAAGATATAGTAGGAATGCGAAAAGCAATTTCCTCCATTTGTGAGTCAATTTGAAGATTTTGAAGTATAAGGCCTTCATGTCATTCATCAAAGTTTTCATATGATGACATCTTTTGCAAAGTTTTGGTGAAAATGATAATTTGAATAAGAAGAAAGTTTTGATTGTAGTGATTTGATGATACACAATTCTGGTGTGTTATGTTTATAAATGCTAGTGGTCAATTTGACATGGATTGTGCTTTTTGAAAGAATGAACCAGATTAATTGCTTTAGTGATGAACGGTGAAAATCAAATTGACGAAGATTGTGCTTTTAACAAACGGCTCAGATTCATTTCTTTTGTGAGAAGTGATGGGGATTTATGTAATGTAATTTAACATATTTATATTTTGTTATATAAAAAAATACGAATTTAAAAACTATATATTTATGTCAATTTAAAAATAAAAAATAAGTATAGCAAAATTGATCTCTATTTCTAGAGAATTAAAAATTATGAATTTTGGTATATTTATTTATTTATTTTATTTGATTATATAAAGAATATATTAGTTTAAAAATTATTTAAAAATAAAGATGAACCAATGGGATAGAGACAAGTGTCTCCATTCCATTGGGTATTTTATCATAAGACTAACTCAACCACTTGGTTGCCTATCCCCCAAAACACACCACACCACCGGTCTCTCCTCTTTTCTCATTTTTCTTTTTTTTTTTTAATTTTTTTCCACCTGGACACACCAGGTCTCTTAGTGGTTGTTGTTATTGGTAGTCTAATTGAGCTGGTTGCGTAAGAATCCAGAGACTCGTCGGTTGGGATAGGTTCAAAACTGTAACAGTACTTTCTCAATTACAGCTTGGCGGGCATAGAAATGGCGTAACGAGAGAATTTTAAATCACAACACACTTACCAGTGAGGCTCGGCGGGTGGACATCGTGAATTTGGTTGATAGTTATGTCTGGGCCGAAGCTGCGTACGTGAAGGTGGGTATAGCGCTTTATGTCACACATATGATTCATTGGTCCCCACCAGATCCGGGATGGATTAAAGTAAACACCGATAGCGCTTGAGATAATCTCACGGGCCTGAGTAGTGTAGGTGGTTTGCTTCGTGACTCCTCTGGTGGTTGGATCGAGGGGTTTTTTGTGAATATTGGGGAATGTTTCATTACGGGTGTCGAACTGTGGGGTCTCTTTCAGGGTCTTCAGCTGGCTTGGGATAAGGAGTACCACCAAGTTATTGTCGAGATCGATAGTCAGTGCATGTCGTGGATAGTGCTTAGCTCAGATGGTACGTTTGGCACCCATGATACCTTGGTTAAGATCGTTCGGAGTTTGATCCAACGTGAGTGGAACGTTTAGGTAGTGCATGTTCACAGGAAAACCAACTTTGTAGCGGACTACTTTACGAGCATGGTGGCTTCTTGCCCGATTGGGTTGCAGAGGATGTCCTCACCTCTTCTAGGACTTAGCACATGGCTTGACCATGATATTACTAGGGTCTCGTATCCCCGTAAAATTTTAGCCTAATTCAGGCCTCTGGCTCCTTATTTGTACTGAATATATATATATATATATATATATATATATATATATATATATACTTTTTGCAATGTTCAATAATTTAGTACAAAAAATATGCCCCTATTTATGGAAATTGATAATTTATTAACACTTTCTATACCATACAAATTATAGACATATTTTACCTAAATAAGATGAGTATGACCAAAACTAAAAGGTAATTAATAAAGACAATAAAATCTCACTTCAATTATTTTTTTAGTTAGATTAATAGAAAATTTATAGAAGAAAAACCCATAAGAGTACCTACAATGTATTTGGTCCAATTTTGCATCTGTGACGTGTAATACCCTATTTCTTTTCAATTAAATCATAGCATTTGCATCGCTCGACTAAGTTTAAACTTTGTTGATTATTTCTTCTTATTTGCTCGTGTTTGATAATTTTCCTAAGTGTTAGGTATGCTTTTGTGAATTATTTGTCTAAGTGATTTATTGATTATTTGCTTAAGTGAATAATTGACGATTTGTCTAAGTGTTTACTTCATTATGTGCCAATTTGATTATTTGATTATGTGCATGAGTGTTTTGATTATGTGTCTATTTGAATATTTGATTAATGCGCTTTTGTGTTTAATTTTGTGCCTAAATTTCTCTAAGTGTTGTTAATTTAATTGCTTATGTGTTAATTTATTCTGTTTCAACTTGTGTACTTTTGATCAAGATGTTTATGCTGATTTCATTATTTTTATCTTTGTTTTTTTAAGTACTTTTGTTTGGCCAAAGTGTTGTGTGGTAAATCTTTTTTCCTACGCTTGTGTATTTGTACTTTTTCGGCCCATATTGTTTTGATTTTGAGCCCAAGCAGAACCAATTTCTCAGCCCAAACATTAATAATTTTTCCAAGCTCATTAGTTGGCCCAATTTTTTTTAACCTTAAGAGATATAGAGCAGCTCATTTATTCTCCCCCAGCAGCCCATGAAGCTTATCATTTCCAATACCTCGGTCTCTCTCCCTTCTCTCCCCATCCGCGCCGACGAGATGCCCTAACAACGACCTCCATGAAATCTGGCGACTCTCCTCTAGTAGCCCCAATATATATATATATATATACTAGATGGGTTTACGCCGTGCACGCACGGCGGTCTAACACCCGGTGTAAAAATACCCATACGCACCTTTTATCTTGTGACAAAAAATCAATATCTTGTTCCAAACATAACAAAATGAGCATCATGTCACGCAATACCATTACAAAATTTCAGAATGCAATCCGGAGTCCGTACCTTCTGAGAAAGAAACTCCTATTATATTGACAACATCCAACAAAAACGAATCAAAATAACAAGCCCAAACACTAAAACTTGAGGCCACATTGCATCAAACACCTAGTTAGCATCTCTAAGGTCTTCCATAAATTAAAACAAAAAAAAAAATCCTCAACTCAAACAACAAGAGTTACCTCCCGATAGAGGCCATGCCGCTCCAGGTGAAACTTGGCAATCGGTTTGGGTTCGACCTTGTCCCCACGGCCCCTCGTCCACCCTCCAGTAGATCTATGTCGTTTGCAGGGCCCGAATCTGCCACCTTACTTTGTCTCTTCAAGCCAATAGGTACTTTTCCTCACAGTCAGAGGCAACCTCTGTTTTGAAAAACAAAAATCCTTTTAGCTATTTGTGTGAGTATTACAATATTTTTATTCATTTTTTATAATTCGAATATCTTTTTCCCGATTAGCATAACAAAGTCATGGTACAACCTCACTGAGGATACACAAAACCTCAATTTTACGTTGTTGCGGACTATAACTCGGCTCGCCCGCCACATAAAAGCTCATATTCCGACAATTGGCTCAAGCAGCACAATAAACACTAAGGAATGAGGCACTGTGAAATAACAAATCCAGATAAGAGATATTTTAATTAGTAAGTCGCTATAGGTTAACATTATAAGATGCTCTAAAACACCTCCGACAAGCAAAAAACTTACTTAAATGACAATTAATGACTATCATCTTCAAAAGGCAAAAATAATTTTATCAATTGTAATGCATGATACCAAGTCGGGGGAAGAAATATCAATACAACCAGCTCACTTGTGAGCTAACTGAACTTATAGAGGCAAATGAGTAGTTGTGGCTGGGAACGTCAATAAAAAATTGACTGAAATTAAAAATCACCATAACCATTTGCTTTTAGTAGTCAGGACATCAATCAAAATCAAAGTGAACTATCAATATCAATAACTCATAAACAAATTACCATGTCAACT